TGTGTGTGTGTGTTTGCTTTGTACTGCTATCCACAGTTCCTGAAATTTACCCACGTCCGATATGGATTTGGAGGGAGACAACTGTGTCTAATCTGGTAGGCTTTATTCAAATCGAAACTTAAACTTTATAGTAATGGTCAACAAAACTAATTTAATGACAATTTCTGTAAAATTCTGTCTTATTTTATTGATACAGTAGTTTTTCATTATCGACAGTTTCTTATTTTTCGTGATTTTTATTACAATAATCAGATAACTTCGAAATACAAAATAATCTTTGAATTATTTAAGGGAAACAACTCTTAGTCAACAAAGCTTAATTTTTTTTATGATTTCTATTTTAAATTATTTTAACTGACATTTTTTAATCATTACAAAAATTTTCTGCCACACACACACACACACACACACACAAATTAGCCTGTAGACATAGAATTTCACGTCAATTTCATTGAATTATGCGTAATTCTATTCATTAACAATTTCTGAAAGGTTCCAGAAAACATCCTAGCAGACATTTTTTTTTACCAGAAATTATTGGAATTTTTACTTTAGACAAAATAATGCCAACAAATCTTGTGCCATATTCGTTAATGTTTTATGTATTAATTAAGCTTAACGTTCAAAATTATTTTCGAATAACACGGATTTACCTCCCTTGCATTCTCCTTAATTTAAAAAAAAAGTCAGTTTTTTTTGGTTTTTTTTTTTTTTTTTAAGTGTTTAAAAATCGTTTGGAGCAGTAACAAGAAATAAAACTCAAAATAACTAAAAATGGAAAGATATTTGATCAGTAGTAGCAAGGCTATTGAATATTGATATTCGGTTGGGTCCAGTATTTATCCATGACGGTCACGGACATATATTGGACCAGGAGTCCACAAAGTGGTTGATATGGGCCAATGAGTTTCAGAATCAAAAATAAATCGTGGTGGCTCACGACCAAAATATTTTTCAATGATAATAGATTTAGCGTAAATCTCAGTGGTTGGCTATTATTAACTGTTAAATTCGCAAGTTACGCCCATAAAACTAGATTTTAAAAGGTTTTTAAGATCGAGTTTTTTTTTAGTTTTTTGTTTTGGCTTGTTGGTTTGTTTTTTTTTTGGGGGGGGGGATTAAGATTGATAGCTACGTCTTGAATGGACATGACATTATGAAAAATAAAAAAAAAAAAAAAAAAAAAGGGATCCGTTAGCTTTCTACGAGTGTCCAAAAGACAGCAGGGATTTTAAGTTCATCACTCTTTTCGCTGTTGGGTTTTTTAAAGTGTTGTTATTTAGGTCATAGATTCTTAAAATCATGTCCAAAGTTGAATTAAGTTTCTCTAGTGCGTAAAAACAATTTTAATTGTTCAAATTAAAAGAAAAATAATTCTCTTTAACCAACTGTGACTTAAAGTGTTAGAAAAAAATAGTTGCAAGATACATATCATAACGTATTTTGAACGCTAGTTTTCGTTTTTTAATTCGAATGTCTGACTTTTTATAGATAAACACCCCAAAAAATGCATTTTAAAAATTAAAAATCTTTTCATGAAGCTTGAATTTTAGTTATAATTCAAAGCTAAGAATAAATTTATTCCCAATAAGAAAAAAAAATTAATCAATTTGTTTAAAATTGACTGGAATCTCCCCTTCCTATTTCGCCAGTAAAATATCGCAGAAAGAGAAAACTAAAAGTGTTTAACACATGGTCATGATCTATTTCTGAGATGAGGTATAAGTATTTATTTACAGTACATTGTTCAGACTGATGCCTTCATCTTTATTTCTATGATACACGTTTCGGCCGTTGAACACTCCGGCCTTCTTCAGATATTTGTTGACAGCTGAGTAAAGGCAACATAACTGAAAAAAATACTTAACTACAATGTGAACGCCTTAAATTTAAATTTTAAAATCTCCTAGGCAAACTAATTTTATTAAACTTAAAGTTTAGGTATTTTGGCTTTCATAGCCTTGCTTACGAGGACGCTTGTTGAAAAAAAAAATGTTAGAAAATTACTAATATTTTTTTAATTTAATTTAAGGTACCTCTTATTTTCTGATAATATCGTCGTGTAACCCCCCCCCCCATACACTTTCTTTTTAAAATACTGGGGGTCGTTGAATTTGAGTTTCCATTTATGATTAATAAATAAAATAAATACTCTTTTTTTTGGGGGGGGGTATTTAACAATATCACTTGACCGCTACAAATTCAATACAAAATTTATTTAAGACTTAAAATTTTAATAAAAATGAAAACAATTCTTGTAAAAGTTCACTATTCAATGATTCATTGAAAAATTTGGTCAAGCTGCTAATACACTTTTTTTTTTCTTTTTTTTTCTTAAAGCATGTCCTTAATTTAGCAATTCTTTTCTAATCACAACACGTTACTTTAAGACATTTTCCCGTTTGAGGATTTAAAATTAGAGAAAAAAAAAAATCTTAGTTTTGTTAACTTAATCCTATTAAGACTATGTTCGGGGCATTATTTTTTACCTTTTTTCAATTTTTTTTCTTTTTTTTTTTTTTCTGGAACTACCGATTTAAGAAAAAAAAGCTCAGAATATGAAACTGCTAATAAAAGTTAAGTGTTAATCATGGTTTATGCCGAGAGCGAATCACAAAGCTTAAATACTAATGAGGAAAGAGGGCCTGGAGAATTTGACACTCACGAAAAGTGAGACATATTGAAGGCATAGAGAAGCAGGCGAAAACAGCGACTAACTTAACGTTAGTGTGGATGGATATCAAGAACAGAGACAGATCGGACATAACAAAAGATGGTAAGTTGAGGTATAAAAAAAAAAAAAAATAAATAAATGCTATGTCGTACGACTCCTCCACTCCAATTTTACCATTTAGAATCATGCTCCACTTGTTACAGGGTGTTTTGTTTTGTTTTTTTAAGCTAATTTGTCTCGCAGGCTAATTCTTCATCATTCGGTTTATGTCATAAGTCTTTGGTCAGAAACTGCAATAAATTCGTATATTTTACGAACAGAAAAAAATCAAATTTGAAATTTTCAAAATGGTACTTTTTCCGTTCAAATCTTAAGCTTTTTTTTTTTTTTTAAATCGTGTAACGAAGAAGTTTAAATGTCAAAAAAAATTAAAATTACTTTAAATTTCAAAATTAAATTTAAAGCAAAATTTAAAAAAATGAAAATTTTCTTAAAAAAAAAAAAAAAAAAAAAAAGTTCCTATTCCTAAGATGCGTGTGTAATTGGAGTTCATTCAGAGCCTCACAAAATAAACATGGCGGGGAGCTAAGCAGGATGGATATTTTCTGATCTTCTCAAAAAAAAAAAAAAAAAAAAATATAATTTCTTTCTCAATCTTTTATGCTGTTGTAGTGTAAACACTGTTTTGATTTTTTTTTTTTTTTTTTTAACTATTTGTTTAAATGTGATGAGTCCCATTTTTTTTTGTAAAAGTTTTAGAAGCTAATGGAATCTTTTGTAAAAAGAAAAAAATTGAAAATTAATATCGGTAATGATATTTTAGCAGTCATAAATTGAGGCCAAAGACTCATTTTGTTTGGTTCCAACAACACCCCTCCCCCCCAAAAATGGGGGAGGGTTGTCACACCCCCATCCCCGGTACCCCCCTGACACCGTGGCAGTAATTCAACATACGCATTGGGGTACTTAAGTGTTTTCGCAAATGGTCTCTAATAAACGGAGCATTAAATCGAAATTACAGTAATAACTCAGCCTGAACTAAAAAAGAATTCACGCCCATTCCATCTGAAAATCTATTTTTAAAAAAAGACTTATAGCTAGTGACTTATGTTTTTTTTTTTTTTTTTTTTCGTAAACTGACCGAAACTGTTTATTACGTCTTCTTTCTAAAATTCCAGAGAAGACAGTTACTAAATGAAAGTTGGATCGGTTTTTGTTTTTTAAAAAAAAAAAAAAACTAAAGCTTAAATTTAACTTTAGTTTAGAAAAAGCGAAAAAGACTTGTATCTCCTTAAAAATGGTTAGTGATTCCTTGTATTTGTAGTGGCGGGGGATTTTTTTTTAAGGTAGGGGGGGTCTAACTCAAACAAGGACAATGTGTTTTCTTTTGTTTTTTTTTTGCTTTGTTTTGTTTTCTCGTACAAGAATAGTGGTGTTTTTTTGCTAGAGATAAGAAGTCATCAGCAGTCCGCACACACTTGCAAAAAAAAAAAAAAAAAAAAAAAACTGTCCAATTCTTGATGAGCAGATTAATTTTGGTTAAGCATAATCAGTAGATAAGTTTAATTAATTTTAACTTTTATACTTGGCTTATATTATTCCCCGAAGGTTAATCACTTATCGAACAATAGCGCAATCTGCGTAATCACGTCACAGGCCATCAAAATGCGACTACATTGACTTTAAAGAAAGAGTCTTTCTTTAAAGTCAATGTCCCACTAAAGACGAATATCAAATATGTACGGCACACATTAAATAAATTAAGACATTTTAATCGATTATTATGCAAAAAGAAACTATATTAAATAACTTTTTTTTCCCTTTTTTTTTTTTTTTTTTTAAACTAACGATGTTTTTTTAAAAATATACAATTAATAAACAGTCACTGGGTAGTGGCACTTCTGACCAGTCTCTTTCACACTACAAGATTAAAAATTTTGACTGTTTTTAAAGTCGATTGAATATTTTCTTTTATTACTATTATCATCATTATTAAATAATACGTCCCTGGTGGTTTTCATTGGGGATGACAAAAAGTGGTGTCTCTTTCAGTACACACCCAACCCCAACAATTAGCACTGCGGTGGTCAAATGACAGAAAAGACAAGTGTTTGGATTTGTAAATTTAAAATACGGAGCGAGATGAAAGATGAGTTGGAAAGTTAATTAAAAAAAAAAAAAGTGGCAACAGATGAGCCACAAGTACTGATTTTTTTTTTCTTTTTTAATGTGTTGGTAAATATTTAATTTTTAAATTTTATATATATATATACTTTTTTTTATAAATAATCAGAAAAAATAAAAGTTTTATAGATTTGAAACTTACGATTGTAAGATGCCAATGTAAAAGAGTAAAAACAGGTCGCAAAAAATAATGAGAAGAGGATGAATTTCGGTTTTCCCATTTTTAAAGATAAATTTCAGATGTATTTTTAAATCAATAGGTAATTTGGTAGGTAGTTTTATGCCGTTGTTGAGATGAAGTTTTCTTTTTTAAATAATCGTATTCGTCGCCAATTTATCTCGTCAGTAGTAAAAAAAAAATGTCATAGAAAATTTAAAGGTAACTTTGGTTCTTTTTCTTTCCTTCTAAAGAGATTTTTTTTTTTTTTGTTTTTTGTTTTTTTTAAAGCCAAGTATCGTAGCACTGTACGAGTACTTTAGCTGCTGTGCACAGTAAATCTATTTGATAAGTGCTTCTCCGATCTAATATATATACACGCTCATAAACTGCACCCCCCACTTGTGACGTCATATTTACTGGAATTTTTTATTATTTGCACTCTCATCATCATTGCCCGAATATTGTTTAGCACCAAAACGGATATATAACAATATTGTATATATTTTAAAAATAAACAAACACGAATTCGTCGAAAAGGCAATGACATATAAATAAATACGAAAAAAAAACCACAACCATATTTTATTTTTGGCTCGGTCGTCAATGCCTGAAGGAACCAACCAAATTGGCAAACCATGTCCTAAAACTACAACTCAAAATGCGCATGCCTAGTTAGAGGGATTGTCAGTTTAGCAATTATTGGTAAAGCTGGCGGAAATGACTGAAAAATTCCCAGTCCGACCCACTTTCTCAAAATTTGACCAAACAGAATTTATTTCGGAAACCTTCCTGTCTCGGGCCGAGATTTCATATCGTATGCTTCTGTTTGTTTTGTCATGGCACCAATTGTGTGTGTGTGTGTGTGTGTGTGTGTGTGTGTGTGTGTGTGGGGGGTAAAAAAAAAAAACATTTCGAATGCTGATTTTTTTCAAGCCAGATCCACTGATCGACTCCTTGGAAGAGCGCGCCACACAATCTTTTTTTTATCTAAATTTTGCGCTAAGCTTAGTAAATTAAAAAGGAGGGGGTGTTACTTTAAAGTTAATTACTTTATTTCCATTTTTTAAAAATTTTTTTTTGTTTTTTTTTGTTTGTTTGTATTTCTCTTGTCGTCCGAAGCTAAAATCTCAAGTTTCATGTCTTATTTTAAGGTTTTCTTTGTGACCAAAAAAAATTAAGCATTAAGGGAATAAAAGAACCCATGCTATTCAATTTTTTTATGCTATAATAAAACATGAAAGAACATACATGAAAATTTCAACTATGAAATCTGAAAAGAAAAATAATTACTAAAGAATGAACTAACCGCTTATCGCTCCTCGTTCTTCAGAACTCTGTCGAGAAAATTTAAAATGTACAATTTTTTTCTCTCTCATTTTCTTGTATATTACCAACTAAAGTTTAGTTGAAGTTTTCCTCCAATGCTTTTGCTGTAGTGACCATATATTTGCGAAAAAGAATTCTAGACTAATGTAAGACCTCTTTAAAAAAAAAAAAAAGTAGTGAAAAAACCATTTAATTCATACCATTCCAGTTTGAAGTTCTGGTATGAACAATTAGCATTATTTACATTCAAACTGTCTTTGCTATCCTGGTAATCCACTAGGCCAAGCGTCGGCTACCTACGGCACGCGTGCCAAAAGTGGAAACCAGTTGCAATTGACATCACGAAGTTCGAAGCAATAACTGCAACAACGCAAAGGAGATATTTAGCTGTTTCAATTTTAATATATAATAAAGTATATATATTATATATTACTATATAAAATATATTTTAGAACAGGTATATTAACCTTGACTTGTATAAAAATATGTATGCTGTTGGCACACTGAATGATTTTAAAACCCTAAGTTAGCACATAGCAAAATGTTGCCGACCCCTGCAGTAGGCTATTCTCCCCTGAGATAATAGCCTAGTGCATTAAAGCGTCAGATCGGCAATCTGGTGGCATAGGAATTGAGTTCAATCCCTGAGTAGAATATTTCAGACACTGTGGAAACTGCGAACAAATGAACAATAATAGGAAAAAAAAAAAAAATTAATCTATCTCTGTAGATTAAGTAATGGGTTCAGTTCAGTTATGTGAAGGTAACCTGAATCGATAAACACTTGAAGAAGGCCAGTGGACACTGTTCCTGAAACGTTGTTATAATAACAAAGATTGAGGACTTGAGTCCGAGTTAAAAACACACACACACACACACACACACACACACACACACACACACACACACACACACACACGGCACAGTGGATAAAGGCGTTAGTTAGATCCAGTGACAGGACCCAAAGAGTGTGATTTCAATACCTGGTTAAGGCAGTGGGGAACTTGGAGAGGGAATTAACAAGAGATAACTGATAACTGACATTCATTAAACATGGCACGCGGAACTAGAACAGTCTACTCCAGTGAGCGAAAAAAAAAAAAAAAAACGGAGTTCAGTTCGACATTCCAACCACCCGAAGAAGGTCGAAGCGTTGTAATAAATATGGCAACAAAGATGAGGACAATAGTCCGAATAATGTAAATAGTGCACATAATACCTCATCTCAGAAATATAGACAGATACTAAAAAAAAAAATTTATATTTTTCGTTATTTTTTTAGTTTGATTTATTTATTTTTTAAGGACAGATTCTTTTATGCGCCTTATCCGTATGTAGGCGATCATGTCCCTCCACATCTTCCTGTAGCTCTTAATAGGTTTCCTGCTATTTCTGTTACTCTATTCTACCACTTACTCAAGCGCATCAAGTATATTACGAACTGCTTTTCTCTTTACCTCAATCTGTCTTGTGAGTAGCAGGTTTTCCATGCCTCCTTCCTCTTTACATGCCCCATAATTTCAACTGTCTCTTCTTGATGTTAAGTTTCCTTTTTTGTTTCCATTCTATCCAAAATCTTGTCGTTGCTCACAGGTTCGACCCATGGTATCCTCAGTATAAGACAGATTACTCAATGGAAAATAGGTTTATTCAAAATCGGGCGCTATTACACTTTCGCACCCCTGCTCCGCCATGTTTTTCTCGTACCTATTTTATTTCTCTGATTACTATTTCCGGTTTCATATTTCCTGCACATCACGTTCAGAACATCAAACACGCATTTTTAAACTTTTTTCCCTGTTTTTCTTTATCACTCTGATGGTCGTTGATGAAATACTTAACGTGGCACACATCACAGCAAAACTGGCTCCAGTCAACCAGTGCCTGGACTGGAAATTTCTAAATCCTTTCTTAGTGTTTCCACAGCTGGTCCTCGGCATCTTCCAAATTGGCTTCCGGAATACTTTACCTCTTCCCTACAACGGCTGTTGCAAGCAATTGCAGTCCATACTGACTACTGGGGGATAAGAAAGTGTAATAGTACCCAAAATCGTTTTTGAACGTCCAAAATATCATAGAGGTTCGTTTCATGACCTTAGCCCCCACTCGGACAGTATCAACGTAAGGCGTCAAAATTTTTTTTTTATGTCTGGCACTTCCTCAGCAATGAAAACTGGCAGGCAACGACAGATAAATGGTTAGACTGACTAGCTTTGAGAATATCATGGACAGTTTGCAAGAAACGAGGAAAGGTCTAAAGAACTACGAGGAAACTGTTAGTTAACAACCAGAAAGAAACGCTAATTTTTTGCGACAGGTAATGAGGAAAGAAGGCTTGGAGAATTTAACTCGCAGGTCATACTGAAGGCAAGGGAAAACTGCGAATAACCGACGTGAGCAAATGGATGACGGAACAAGTACGACAAAAAACAAGTCGTAAAGAAGGAAGGGTTACTTAGAACTGTGGTCAACTAATGTGCGTTTGACAGATTTCGGCAGGCGTTCGGCCTTTTACGGTGGGTGGGCATCGAGTTTCGTTGGTAGGTGTTTGACTTGACACACAACTTTTTTGTATTGACGGTACCAATGCTACCCCGACTGAAGTTGGGGGACTGATTGGGTGTCCGGGGTGGGGTGCTTTGCTTGTGTGTGTTTTTGTTTTGTCGGTGTTTTCGTCATGTTAAGTCTCGAAAAAAAAACACTATAAAATTCGCTATTTTTATTCAAATGTATTCAAATTATTCAACTTTTTAACAAGAAAAATCTCAAGTTGATTTTAAAAATTGGCGCAAAATAATCTTATGACATGTCTCTAATTTGTATTTAGATACATTTGTATTTTATTTTCGATTTTTCTATTTGAATTGCTCACCTATATTGCATATGATCAATTATTGTGCGTAATTAGGTTATAATAAAATGTGTGTTTTATATGAAAATTGAGATGTAACAGATTCGGGGGGTGTCATAGATTCGGGGGTCCAATGACACCTTTACACTGGCTCTGGGCGGGACTAGTCATGAAATCATCAATACTAGTTAATTACCATTCAACTCGTGAAATTATTTGACTGTGTAATAGAATTTTTTTTAAGTGTGAGAATTTTAGAATCGATGGAAAGGTTAAAAAAAATAAATTTTCTACATGGCAGATTTTTTTCCCAGATTTTTACCGACATGAATTTTGCAACTTCATGAAAAGAAATGAATCAGTTGTTTTGCTACAAGAAATTCCCTTCACAGTATCGTGCTAGACAATTTCTTACCAGAATGTATCTTATCCATTTATAAGTCTACTACTCGTCCATGTATTGGCTATCGCTGTCACACCTGATTTGGTGATTCTGCTATGCATTTACAGATAATTGATAAAATGCAAACAATCTGCAATGCTATTGGTCATGGCCTGGCATTTTGGTTTCGGTCACTTTCCAAACGCTGTAGTGTAGCTAGTCTGTATCGTTTCTATAAATACTCTCATGGTAATTGCTCTGAAGAGCTTTCCTCATTTCCTCGAGTTTAATTCCCTCCCTTCCGTTAGGGGACAGATGTCAGTTCTCTGGTAGATGCGGGACGTTTTTCGTGTGTGAGAGAAAGAGAGATTGGTCGAATGATTGTTATCATTATTATTATTTAGTCTTGCATTAATCTTTTTTCCCAGGTAACTGATTTTTTTTCAGTGCTAGTATAATATATCTACCGAAGCATTTTGCGACTTACCGTAAATGGCGATTA